GGTGTCCAGAGAGCCAAATGCCATTGTGTGTGCCTGGATATTTTAGACTGTGTCATACCCAAGCAGACCATTTACAGTAAAGACTAGATGTGCTTAGGAACTGATGTACGACGACATTTCAATTTCTCAAGTTATAATATGTAAGGTTAGCAATACATAACTATATGCATGTGTGCATTTCCTGAAAGGGCATGTTTTTCTCTACAATATCCCATGATATAGATGCCATAATTATGTTAAAGTAACTATTAAAAGCTTTTTTAATTATGTCTGTACTTTCTGCAATTTTCTTTTTCTTCGATTTCTTTTGTTATTTAAATGTGGGACCCTGTAATATCTAGCCTATAGTCATGTTATACAATATATTTGATTTGAAAGCCTATAATTTTCTCTTTAATTTGATATAAAGGGTCAAAGGGTGTGGCAAAAAAACCAATCTATTTTCTGCAGCGTACTGTTCGTCTGAGGGTGGTGGGGGAAGGCTCGTTGGATCGCCTACATAATGCCATTATATGCAGTCACAGAGTAGTGGTCGCCTGAGCTATGTGCGTTTGTTATCAAGTTGTATTTAAAAAGTAGAGAATTCATTCATTGCAACTCAGCGGCAGTTCCGTGCATTCTTTCAATTAAGGCAACATGGAGAAGTTCTGTTGCATAGCACAATCATGCGGTGGGTTACTAGCTTTAGAACAACGGCTTCTGAGTTCAAAAGGAAGCTGGCAGGCCGTCCAAAGTCAGATCGGACGCCAGACATCTAACATTCGATAGAGTTCGTGCTGCTATGGAAAACAGTCCTTGTAAGCCAGCCCGAAAACAAGCGGCTGCCTTGAACATTTCTGACTGCTCAGTTACACAAATTTGTAGGTTACTTTTCATCCCTCCAGATTAATTAAAATAATAATCTGTTTAATTCTGTAAATTATCCATACAGATAATCACGACGGATCCTCTCCATGTCAACATATGGAAGTCGACCTAATTGAATGAATGCACGGAACTGCCGCTGAGTTGTAATGGCTGAATCATTACTTTAAAAAAACGATTCGATAACAACCGCACTTAGCTCAGGCAACCACTGATCTGTGACTACAAAAAATGGCATTGTGTAGAGTTTCCAACGAGCCTACTCAGTGCTGGATTTAGGGTACTTGCGGCCCTAGGCCAAATTACTTGAGCGGCCCTCCCCCTTAGGTGGAAGAGATTAGGTGGAAATCCATGCGATCGCGGAAGTAATTGTGAATACCTCCTATGCATTAAGGGGACATCATCATCGACGAACGTGATCGTGGATAAAATCGTGGACATCTCTCCTCAATCAAGTCAAATCCATCATAGGTATACGTGTCAGCTGGTTCGTGAGTTGTTGTTTCGACTGTTTACGTTCTAGTAAATGTTTGTTTACGAATTGGTTGGTTATAGAATTGCAGGTTATGGCCATGAATCGTTGAGAAATACATTTTAAACCTTTAAAAAGTTATAATACCACAACTTATTCATGCATTTGGTGATAGTTTGTGGCTAATCACATAAAGTGTACCGGTAACTGGACTTGGTAAGTCAGGCCTATAGGTCATAGGTGCGTGATTTTATTTTTACTGTTTGTATATTTTGTGCATGGCTTCTAATAGTATTCTCATAGTAATTTGAATTATAAACATTATAATAACAACATATAATGCAGTGAGCATGATTTAGGTTGTTTGCTGGGTAGGGTAGGGCATAGACCTCTTTGTAGTAAATGTTACACATTTTTTAGCGAATTTCCCATATAAGCTTATTTCAAAATAAGCTATTACCGTAGTACTCATGGTAAGACTGCTATACCAGCTGATCATTATTTTAATATGATTGTTTATGTTTTGATTTCAATTCCTTGTTTTTCCCAGTTCTTACATCAGTTCCACTTCTAGATAAGCAAACCCTTGAAATATGTCCAATCTTATTACATTTCCTACAGAATTCGTTCTTAAATCTGCATAAATTAGCCTTGTGCTGTTCACTGCCACACCTGTAACACTTGCCTCTTAAATCTTCAAATGAAACTATGGGTTTGTTTCCCTTAAATTGACTTTGTTTGTCTTTGTATCCAGATTGTAGGCGGTTAATGTTTGCAGTTTCTTTTAGCATTGTATTTCCATCTCTCCGGTTAATCTCATAACTTTCAGATTTAGATTGTTCTATGGAAATCGCAGTTTGTACCACTTCGTTGTAAGAAATTTTACCATCTTTTTCTTGAAGAAGTCTAATTCTAATTTCATTGTCTTTTAACCCCCGTATGAACTGCATTTTTAAGAACATATCACTTACCGTACTTTCACAGTTATAACAATAAAAATCACAGTCCGTTGCTAAACGTTTAAGTTCTCTGGCATATACGGCTATGTTCTCTCCAGGTTCTTGAACCTTGCAAACAAATTTATGTTGGTTAGCTAGTATGCTAGGTGAAGGCTCAAGACAATTTTTCAAAGATTCTGTGAGTTCATTGAAGGTTTTGTCACCTGGTAACTCAGGAGCTAATGTATCACACAATGTTTGGTGCATCTCTGGAGAAAGTGTACTGACAAACAAACATGTCTTGGTCTTTTCATCTGTAATTTTCTTTAACTGAAAATAGTTTTCAAGTCTCATCAAAAAGTTTTTAAATGTCTCGTTCTCTGTGTAAGGTGTAAAGTTAATGTTAGGTACATGGCTATCGTGTGCAACTGATATAGAAGTTGTGTGTTCATCTGTAGATTTGTTCGGTATAAAGAATGGCTGTAACAATGCTCTTATCTCTAAATATACCTCTTCTACATCAGCCCTGTAATCTTCTTCTTGTTCAAAATCATCTTCATCTTCTATTTGTAAAATATCTTCGTGTAGTGAGATGAATTTATGCCAAGCTTCCTCTGCTACATTTAATCTGCCAGGAGCATCATTGACTGATGAACCCTTGCTTTTTAATAGGTGTAGAGTTCTTTTAATCTGGCCTTTTAGTGCTCCTCTTTTATGTTTCAGTCTTCTGATATCATTTCTTTCATCCCATCCTCGTCGCCATTTGTTGTGTTTTAAATAAAGATTGTGTGTAAAAGACATGTGGACCAAATAAGAAGATTGTAAGTATATGAAGAAAAATAAAGGAGGAGGATTGCTATACCAGCTGATCATTATTTTAATATGATTGTTTATGTTTTGATTTTACGTTTTTCTGTTTACATTTTAATAAAATGAGTTCATTAAGTTATTCAAATCTATTCTTTATTTAAAACACAACAAAGACCAAATTCATATATATATATATGTGTGTGTGTGTGTGTCCGTTAGCGCGATAACTCGAGCAAAAATGATCCGATTTTGATGAAATTTGGTACAAACGTGTAAACCTACGTTTATTCGAACGAGTTCGCGATCCAGCATAATCGGACCATGGGAACAGGGGTTTATGGGGGGTTTTATGGGGTAAAAATGCGTTTTTCCCATTTTTTACCCTAAAAACAAAACATTTTGCAATTTCTTTCTAAACCGTTTTGTAGAGCTTAAAAAAAGAAATAATTTAGTATATTGAAGCGCTGTTGTATGCCTAACGGTCACGGAGAAAATTCAAAAATAGTTTAATTTAAAATTCCCATGTTATTCTTATGGAGAAAATAAAAATTGTTGTAGTTTACTTGTTTATGGATATATAGGCTATTGATAAAATTTGGCAAATTTATTTATTTCATCCCATACTATTCACGTATGGTCAAAAAATACTTTTTACCTTCCCCGTAGCAGCAAACCTAAGCACTTGTTAAATCTAATGTTATTTAAATAGGGAATAAATATGTCTTATTTATGGAAATATTTGAGTAAAAATGTAATCAGACAAGTTGAAATTCGCTTAGTCTGCAGGTTTGCTGCGGCGGGGGTATTTTGACATATACAATAAAAACATTTGTTATATATGATTTCTCTTTAGTTTTTAATGCTTTTTAAAACGAATGTAAAATTGAATGTCAATGAAAAATTTTAAATTGTGTTAAAATGAGAATAAACAGCACCATATTTCTGTCTTGTCCATGAAAATATTTTATTTTAACTCATGAAACCCCAACTAAAATTAGTATTTTACAATGCACGATCTAATAATCTACAAAACAAAACATATTAGGCCAAAAAATTTTATAATGGTCGGCATTCCTAGACACACATGTAGGCCTGGCAAACCTCAAATTTCACCCGCTCGTGGCACTCATAGGGTTTTTTTTACCTAAAAACAAATTTTACTAAGCTACAATTTTAACCCTTCCCGGACAGCCAAAATCGTGACATAGAACGGGAAAAAATTATAGGAAAAATAAAAACTTATTTTCCTTATTTGTGTTTTGTTATACAAGTATACATAAAATAAACACAATGGAACACGTCATACTGTGAGAGTGGTGCGCGGGAGAGGGGTAGGCGTGGGAGAGAGGGGGGAGTGCGTTAGAGAACAGGTAAGTGGGGCCTTGGTACCGCGAAACATCTGGTTACTGCTCAAGCACCTGCCAGTCTGTCTGAAGAGAAGGCGGATATATCCGCTTCCCGTCCGTAACATAAAAAAAAACCATAAGCGGATATATCTACCACCCGTCCTTTATCGCCAAAGACTTAGGCGGATATATCCGTCACCTGTCCGTGAAGGGTTAAATAATACCCCAAAATTGGCCCTTACTAAGGGTTTTTTTACGCCCAGGGTTAAAATTGTTAAGTTGATATGTTATTATCTATTATTTTTAATAAAAAATTGTAATTAGAAAGATTTTTGTTTACTTCATTGTTTGTTCCACTCAATTGACGGACCTGAGACCGCATACCTAGTATTATTTGCCCCCTAGATTGAATTGATTATTGATTATTGTGTAATGGACATAGACATCTCAGGCAATTAATACACAGTATGTGGCAATACTGCCACACACACATTAGTTTATCACATTGGTTTATCATATGGTTTAAATCTTATATCATGAGGCTAGCACTTAAATAAATATTTTAAATACCTTTCTTCATCCGAACTGTCTTCCTATGTCCAGAACCATCCCAATAGCTGAAAGTAATGTCAATTTCTTCCTCTTTTAGTGTTGATTGTTTTGCTGCCCACTCCTACTAACAAATTGAATTTGGTTACTATTGAAAATAGTCATTTGTGTAACTAGTGAGCAAAGTGGCACTTTGCTGCACACGAGAGCAACGTTTACGAACGGAATGATCTCGAGTGCAGCAAAGGCCTTTTGCACTCGTGTTACACATTATATTAGCGAATTTCCCATATAGGGAATAAGCTATTACCGTAGTACTCATGGTAAGACCTTGGACCCGGGACCGATTTTTTTTTTTCGTTTTGAGGTCCCTAGAGGCCAAAAACACCATATGGGTTAAAATTGGGTTTTTCCTATTTTTTACCCAAAAAACATAAAATTTTTAAATTTCTTTCCAAACTATTTTGTAGAGCTTAAAAAAACAAACAATTTAGTATATTGAAGCGTTATAATGCGCCTAATGGTTACGGAGAAAATTCCAAAAAATTGTTAATTTAAAATTCCCATGTTATTCTTATGGAGAATAAGTAAACCGTTGTAGTGTGCTTGTTTATTAACATATTTTGCCCAAATTTGGAAAATGTTTTTATTTCTTACTAACTATTAACATTTTACATAAAAAACACTTTTACCCTCCCTGTTGCAGCAAACCTAAGTATGTGTTAAACTGATTCTATTTAAATAGGGAATAAATGTGATATTTTTAAGGAGACATTTTAGTCTAAATCCAATCAGGCAAATGGAAATTCGCTTAGTCTGCAGGTTTGCTGCGGCGGGGGTATTTTTCCTACTGTCACTATAAAGCATATAAATAAACACCTTTTTAATGACAATGAAAACCTTGACAGAATAAGAAATTGTCTGGAGGGAGATGCCTTTAAAATGGTAAAACCTCTATTTATATCAGGTAAAAATTTTAGTACAGTAATGAAAACTTTACAAATGCGTTTTGGACGTCCACAGTTTATAGTCGAGTCAATGTTGAAGAAGGCGCGCATGCTCCAACCAATCAAGGAGGATGACGCTGTCAGCCTTATTAAGTTTTCAACAACTCTTTTAAACCTGACCTCTACCACAGAGTCGTTGGATTTGGAAATGTACTTAATAAATCCTCTCTTGTTGAATGAACTTTTAAGTAAGCTCCACTATACTCTGAAGTACAGGTGGGCCGAACATGTAAATAGCAAGCATTTAGAAAAACCTACTGACCTGAAAGTATTCTGTAACTGGCTTGAAAATCAGTGTTCCATTATGAGTATTTATTTTCGTCCACCCGAGGAGACAGCGCGGAAGAGAAGTGACCCTAAACCAGTTTTGACTAATTCGCATGATGAAAACGTTTGCATGTTTTGCTCGGAGGGTCATGAAACCGATAAATGTAACTTTTCAGAAAAGCAGAGGTCGCGCAGCGGTGGAAGATGATAATTGAAAAAAAAACTGTGTTTCTTTTGCTTCCGTCGTCACCACATCAAATTTTTAAGTTAAAGAAACCTTGTGGAATCAATGGGTGCAACCTATCCCACCATCACCTTCTGCATACTGACAGAGCCTCAAAAAATGCCCAAGAAATCAGCCGGGACAGAGTACAGAACACTTTCAGGCAGGAAGGTAAATCGAAAGAAGAAATCATAAGCAATCACTCGGTAAATAACCGTGTTTTACTAAGAACATGCCCAGTAACATTATACGGTCCAATCTGTCAGATCGACACATATGCACTTTTAGATCTATCTTTTAGACGGTTCAACCGTATCTCTGCTAGATTCGACTTAGGCATCAGTGGTAGCATTGAACTCCTTACCACTTTTTGGTCAAATACAACTAAACATTTTGACCCAACGTCCAGACGAGTTGAACTTAAAATAAAAGGGCTCTATGAAGAAGAAGTTTTCACATTAAATAATGTAAGAACTCAATCACCTCTAGATTTACTCCAACAGTCGATAGACTCTGTAAAGCTTCGTGAGAGATGGCCTCATTTAAAGTCAATCGATCAACATATACCAACATCTCATGCCAAACCTACCATTTTGATAGGTCAAGATAACTGTGACTTGTTATTGACCAGAAAAGTTATCGAAGGTCCGCCAAATGCTCCCGTACTGTCATGGAGCTACCTAGGGTAGTCAATGCATGGCAAGTGTCCAGAATTTGCTGGGCGTGTTGAGGATTTCACCTTATTGTCCTTTGATCACGACAGATTACATGATTTGGTGAAAAGTTCCTTTGAAATTTACAACTACGGTGCATCTCCAGTAGAAAACAAATCAATAAAATCGGTAGAAGACGAACGTGCAATGTCAATCTTGGAAAAAACACCGTGGAAAATCTGAGAACGTTATGAATCTGGCTTGTTGTGGAAATCAGATGATCTTAAATATCCCTCGAGTTACGATAAAGCTCTTAAAAGACTAAAACACATTGAAGGGAAGATGGCAAAGGATCCTTCCTTTAAAGACGAATACACAAAGAAGATTGCCGACTACAATGAAAAAGGGTATATTCGAAAGCTAAGTAAAGATGAGGCAAGTATTTTAAATGATCATACTTATTATCTACCTCATTTCGGAGTTGTGAACCCCAATAAGCCCAACAAATTAAGATTGCTCTTTGACGCAGCTGCAAAGTCGAACGGTGTATCATTTAATGACGCTCTTCTTAGTGGACCTGACCTTTTGAATCCATTACCAGCTGTTCTCGTAAAATATTGTCTGGGAAAATTTGTCGTCGTTGGTGAAATTAAGAAAATGCTCCATCAGGTACGCATAAGGAAAGAAGATGTAGATTCACAGAGATTTTCGTGGAGGCAAAACACGAATGATCCTCCAGATACGTATGTAATGGAGGTGATGACATTTGGGTCGACCTGTTCTCCAAGCACTGCTTTATATGTAGTGAACGAAAATGCCAAAAGTTTCTCATCCATCTACCCTGAAGCTACTAAATCAATTCTCACTAAGGAATACATGGATGATTTATTAGACTCTGTCAATTCTGAGGAAGAAGCAAAGACTCGAGTGAAAGAAATAATGGAAATTTGTAACGACCCAAAACCTGTCAAGGGGTAAAAACCCGATTTTTTTAGTTTCATTTAAAGTATTATAATACGTTCGGGGGTAAGCCGCGCCCGCGTTGTCAGCGGCATTGTAGAGGCAGGGGTCCTACGTCATCGTAGAGGGGAGGACGCTAGTTACCTACCCCGCCACCAGGGGTGATGGTGAAGAAGGACCAGAATAGCAAACCTCATGGTCAATTGTCCACCCGCTACCGAACCGTCAATACACTTGCTGTTTGGAGATAAAACCAACAGTCTAACATAACGTCTAACTTCATATAATTCTGGTCAGTTAAAGATCTCCCCCGTTCCTGGTAGAGTCCCAAGGCATCAGGTTAGTGTGCTACCGAATTTATTTTGTTTATTCTAATTTTTTAGAAAAGTTTTATTATTTTTATTTTATTGTGCCGCAGTCGCACGCACCCCGCACGCTTTTTCACGTACAAGCACACTGCCTGTTGTCTTTAACCAGCTTCTGAAATCATTTAAGCTGCCAGAACCGTTTACGTGCAACTTATCCCGTTACCCCGAACCGTCTTAAGTAAATTTGATTTAAGAAACCCCGTATCGACTCTGGTGATCGACCGAGTCTAATTTTCCCGACACGTTTACTTTGGTGATTACCAAGTATAACGAACGAATCACGTTTAGGTTAAGTTTCCAATTAAATAGGCTTATTCGCATTCACGACAATTCATTCCAAATTCCAAATTTTGCTTCATTATCTTTTCGAGTGGCTATGATGATCACTTAACGTTGTTAGCAGTGTTGTAATTAATATTCTGAGCCAATAAACTTGAAACGATAATTAAATAACGAACACATTAGAGTCCTGGACTATCTCGTTGTAGGCTAAGCTACCTGGACAAATTTAAGGTGTGACAGAATTTCAGGTGAGACGACAATTACGTACTTAAGAAATTACACTACTGACCTGAAAGTATTCTGTAACTGGCTTGAAAATCAGTGTTCCATTATGAGTATTTATTTTCGTCCACCCGAGGAGACAGCGCGGAAGAGAAGTGACCCTAAACCAGTTTTGACTAATTCGCATGATGAAAACGTTTGCATGTTTTGCTCGGTGGGTCATGAAACCGATAAATGTAAACTTTTCAGAAAAGCAGAGGTCGCGCAGCGGTGGAAGATGATAATTAAAAAAAAACTGTGTTTCTTTTGCTTCCGTCGTCACCACATCAAATTTTTAAGTTAAAGAAACCTTGTGGAATCAATGGGTGCAACCTATCCCACCATCGCCTTCTGCATACTGACAGTGCCTCTAAAAATGCCCAAGAAATCAGCCGGGACAGAGTACAGAACACATTCAGGAAGGAAGGTAAATCGAAAGAAGAAATTATGAGCAATCACTTGGTAAATAACCGTGTTTTACTAAGAACATGTCCAGTAAAGTTATATGGTCCAAGCTGTCAGATCGACACATATGCACTTTTAGATCTATCTTTTAGACGGTTCAACCGTATCTCTGCTAGATTCGACCTAGGCATCAGTGGTAGCATTGAACTCCTTACCACTTGTTGGTCAAATACAACTAAACATTTTGACCCAACGTCCAGACGAGTTGAACTTAAAATAAAAGGGCTCTATGAAGAAGAAGTTTTCACATTAAATAATGTAAGAACTCAATCACCTCTAGATTTACTCCAACAGTCGATTGACTCTGTAAAGCTTCGTGAGAGATGGCCTCATTTAAAGTCAATCGATCAACCTATACCAACATCTCATGCCAAACCTACCATTTTGATAGGTCAAGATAACTGTGACTTGTTATTGACCAGAAAAGTTATCGAAGGTCCGCCAAATGCTCCCGTACTGTCATGGAGCTACCTAGGGTGGTCAATGCATGGCTAGTGTCCAGAATTTGCTGGGCGTGTTGAGGATTTCACCTTATTGTCCTTTGATCACGACAGATTACATGATTTGGTGAAAAGTTCCTTTGAAATTTACAACTACGGTGCATCTCCAGTAGAAAACAAATCAATGAAATCGGTAGA